CCTTGGCCCTGGCCCTGGCCCTGACCTGGCCTGGCCCTGCCCACTGCCCAACCCTTCCTGATCCCACCTCACCTCCAGCCCCCTCCAGTCCAGCCAGCCAGCCTCTCCTGCTATCCGGTTCCTTGCAACAGGGGTGTTGAATCATGAATGGCACACTTGGCCACTCATGATAACTCCTGATTCAAGTGCACGTGCACATCATTTGTCTGTCATGTTTTCGGTGGGGTGGGGTGGGGTGGGGTGGTGGGGCGGGGTGGGGGGTGAAAAAAAGAACACATAGGTGTGGCACCTCCATTTCAATTCTGTACGCCCGAACGTTGCAGTTGGTAGTTGGTAGGAAGAAGTGCAGCATGTGTGAAAGTGGGTGGTCACATGTTGTGCGGGCCAGACAGGCGCCTTAGGTCTGAGGAATCTTAAGTGCCAGTAAGAGCCTATGAAGTTTTATTGCCAGCCGGGCCTCCCGTATCGAGAAGGCTGCAGGCCGCAATTGAGGAACGTGACAGCCAGGAATCAATAGGAAGGTCACACAGTGAGTGCGTAACATAGTTTTGCTTGAAGTTGTAGCTTCCCCGCTGTGATTTGTCACAGCATGGCAACTTCGTCGCTCCCTCCTGACAAGAAGCGTCGCCTCCTTCAGCGGGTGTCATCAGTTGAGACTGATCCGGGTGATGCATGGGTAGCTGAGCATGCACCTCCAGGAATCCGCACTGCGAAGGATCTGCACGAATGGCCGCTGGATGTGATGGAATCTCTGACCAGGCCAGACCGTGACGAAGAGATTGAGCTGCGCTTGCATAGTCACCTGCTACAAGGTGTGTCCTTGTGTACAGACTACTCTGGGCTGGACTGTCCCAGAGAAGCCTTAGAGATGGGGTTTCGGGCTTTGCAGATGCTCAAAGGGTATGACCCTGACACGGCCGTGAGCCCAGTGTGGGTTGGCCGCACGTGCGACAAGGGCCAGTTGCAGAAGCGTTTGCAAGTTGCACTTTCGAGCACCTTGGAAGCAGGGCAGCGATGTCATTTTGAGGACATTCTGCATCGCTTGCCGCTCGAAGGAAGGCAGTGGATTGCAGCCGCTTCGCCCCGCAGGCAGGCTTCCAAGAGCGAGCGTGGTGAAGCGTACAAGTGCATCGCTGACTGGGTCATGGCGAACCGCAACATGCTTTTCAGTGTGAATGCAGAGAGCCAGTGCGTGGTGCATCACAGGCGCAGACAGGGCCGGGCCGGGTCACCGAGTCAAGTACGGACATCGTCGTCGTCGTCGTTGTCGCCGTCAGCATCGTCGTGGTCCGTTGGGCCGAAGAGTCACGCAGTATAGTAGCAGTGGCAGCAGTGCCAATAGCAGTGTAGTTGGAGGAGTAGGAGGAGCTGTGACGGCGGGGTTCTTTGAAGCCCTTTTGTTGAGCAGCTAGTGTAGCAGTGTAGCAGACTTGTGACCCTGAGGATGTGCCCTGTTCATCCATCGCCTCCAGATTCGGCAGCAGATTCAGTGGCAGGTTCTCGTCGCATTCGTCTTTGCGTGGCGGGTGTGACATGTCATGCTTGGTCGGCCGAGGGAAGTCAAGATGGCCAAGCTCACGACTCCGAGATCCCATTGGCTGTGTGGCTTGCAGAAAGACGATATATGTTCGAGCAGGGAAAGGAAGATGTGTGCATGGTGGAATGCACGCCGCGCTTTCCTGCTCAGAGGCGGCTGCAGGAGACCTTCGGCGACACGGCTGTTGTTTTGGCTTGGGAGGACGGTCCTGAATGGCACGGATGGCCGCACCGGAGGCGAAGGATTTTGTCTTTGGCCGTCAACCGAAAAACAGCAGATTGGTTCGGACCAACCTCATCCATGGAGGCCAGGGCCGACTACAGCAATCGTTTCTACCGCCAAATGGTGTCCACAGGGGAGATCCTCATGCAAGGTGACCAGGAGGAGCGCGTGAAGGACATGGTGGCTCTGGCAAGAGCTCGAAAGAACAACGCTGACGACACCGCCGTTGAGAAACTCTTCGTGGACCAGGACTACGACAAGCTGGCCCAGCTCCTGCTTCCTCCAGGAGGCGTCCTTCGCCTTAAAGAGTGGCAAGAGCTGCACAAGATGAAAATGGCCGAGGCTCCATTGCGAGCCTTCCTGTGCGACGTGGATCACACAGTGAAGGGCAAAGGCTGGTTGTGCAAAGAACTGTATCTCTTCAACCCCCCACAAAATGAGGCCTTAACCACAAACCCATAGACCCTAAACTAAACCGACTAAACCCCAAACGAGATTTCGGCACAGGCCCCGTTGGTGGCGAGCTTTGGCCGACGCAGCTCACACATGGCTCGGTCTTTGCTTTGAAAGGCAGTGAGGGTGAGTCCGTCGGTTGGAGAATGGCCACAGCCAAAGAGCACATGACCGCCTTGGGGTGGAGAGCGCATGGATCGTCCGAGGTGTTTCCGGTCTCCAAGATGCTGGGCGTCATGTCCGATTTGAACCTAAGCCCGAACCAGGTCAAGACCTTGGCAGGTAACTCTATGCACCTTCGAACGCAGATGTCTTTCATGTTTTATGCCTTGGGTCACATCATGTTGAAGAGCGAAAGTCCAAATGTTTTGCAGCGTGCAACCACGTGGCAATGGGAGGACAGTCAGTAGGTGTGGCTGAAGAAGTCTTGTACAGTGCATCTTGTGTGCAGGGCAAGCTGAGGGAAATTTTGCTGAGACGTATCGTAGCAAACGCTGTTAGAGTTCACGAGGCATTGCAGAGTAGCTGCAACCGGATTTGAAAATCAGTGACCTCTTGAAGTCGATTTCTGGTGCTGCAGGGGCATGTGGGCTAGAACCTTAAAGGTACCAGACTTTGGAGAGTAGAGTGGTGAGAGGCATGCCAGGGAGTCTCGGGTGTGTGTGTGTGAGAGACAGAGAGAGAGAGAGAGAGAGAGAGAGAGAGAGGGCGAGGCTGGAGAGAGCAAGACAAGGAAAAAGAGACAGAGAGAGAGAAACACAGACACGGAGAGAGTGCGTGTGCGTCTGTCTGTGCAGTCGTGCACACATCGAGTTCGGAGAAGCTTGCCGATCTGATTGTAGTTTTGTTTCATGAAGTGCTCCATGCCTGCAATGACGTCCTTGTCATTGTCGTGATGCATGTGCAACGATGAGGACATCAAGCGACAATTCGAGAGGGTTGTGGGTGCAGCCAATCGAGCTGCAGCCTGCAGCCCAGCCTGCCTTAGGCAGACAAGATGGCGGATGATTTCGAATCGGAGCTCGACCTCATGCCGCAAGACGACGATGAGGAAGCTGTGGATGCAGATGATGGGTCGAGTCGTGTTCGTGGACGTGACCCAAGCTTTGCGAGCACGTGGCAGAGCCAGAGATCCCGCGGACGTGGTCGGGGCCGCCAAGGTTCTGCGACTGCGAAAGCCAAGAACAAAGCGAACAAGGTGTGCTTCGTTCCTGGGTGTGAGTGCAGGTGCAAACCGCATTCGAAGTTCTGCGCCTCTCATCACAAAGATGCGGAAGCCGTCCGCTACCAGGCCAAGCAGCAGGGCGACGAAGAGATCAAGAAGACCGTTGAGGAGGCACTCGCCGACCCCTACAAGTGCAAGTTGGCGCTCGAGGACTTCGCCCGGAACAACCCCGCCGGCAGGTTCCGCAAGAAGCTCATCGACTGGTCGGCCTTCCAACAGACCTTTGGACGACGGGCGGAGGTGAGGAACCGCGAAAACGAAGAAGAAATGGACGTGAGCGACTACATCGCGTACATGACGAGAAAAGGCAAGACTGAGGAAGAAGCCATGGATAAGTGGAAGGAGCTCCTGGCGGACCCCAACATTGAGCGCTCTGGGGAAGGCCAGGATATCAAGGTTTGGGTTCCTATGAACCGCACTCGCATGCGAGACACGATTCACTACAAGGACTGTTCGCTCGCTGAGGGCAGCAAGGCGGCAAAGGACCTGAAGGAAGCAGACAGGATCGGGTTGTGCAGTCAGCTGGGTAGCATGTAGCAGTTGTAGATTTTGTAGAAGTGAGATTGCATTCTATCCCATGGCAGGCAAGACCTCATGGACCATGTCCAGCGCCAGCAGTACAATGTTGCTGATGCATGGCTTCGTCAGGGCGTCGGGAACTTCGAGTTGCAGCTGCAGGGAGGCTCCAAAAAGGCCCTTCAAGAAGTCAAGCAAGAGCCAAGTTCTTCAGCAGGCACGGATGATGTCATTCCTAGGTTTCTTTTTCCTGATCCCAGTGAATTGCCCGACGTGCCAGCGGTGTAAACTCGACATGTGCTATGCTCTCAGGCGGCAGCAAAGGCCCGGAGATCGCACTCGTGCGACCGAAAGCTGTGGAGAAGTACGAGAAGCTCGTTAGCTCTTGTTGGAGGATGACAGAGACGGCCAAGAAAGCGGTGACAGAGGCTCTGCAGCTCGCTGTGGACAACACAGAGGACGACAAGCTGCAGACGGCGTATGAAGTCAACTGTGTTACTCGCCTCTACATGTTGCAGGTTTGTGAAGCAAGCACTATGGCTGATGTTCCCGGTCTTCGAACACCGCCGTCCTGCCCAACCGGTGGTGTCAAAGAGCTTACAGCTTTGGCTTCGTCGTCATCCAAGTCGGCTACTTCGGCCCCGGCGGCCACGATGAATCAAGAGCAGCAAGCAAACAGCTTGCAGCAGCCGTCGGCGCCGCCGCCCGCCGACGCAGCCAAGGATGGCGACCAGGCATCCCAGGCGGCCGCTGCGACAGCAGCGATCCAGGAGAGCCCGAAGAAGACCGTCGATGCCCAGTCCACGAGTGGAGACTCCAACGCCTTATCCCACAACGCCAAGGTGACTCGTTTCCTCAAGAAGGCTTTGCAGATGGCTGGGACTTCAGGACAGCATGTGAGCGACGTAGACAAGATCATGGGCTTGTCGCAGATGGGTGACGCATGCCAGTCACTCATGGACTGCAGCACGATCGAGGAGCTCAACAAGGTTGTTGAAGCTTTGAAGGCCGCTGCTGTGGGTGTCAAGGAACTCAAAGATGGGGCTTGCAAAGCAGCGTCCAGCCTCAAATCCCACATCCAGGCGAGGCAGCGTGCTGGACAAAAGAAGCGCGCAGCGGATATCAAGTTGCAAGAACACAACGAAGTCCAGGAAAAAAGAAAACAGGCGAAACTTGCTGCGGAGCAGATCAAGAAGCAAGAGACCGTGCTCCCGCCCATCCTGAATCTCGACTGGACGGCCATCGCCAACGGTGCCGATGACAGATGTGTCAAGGTCCAGCTCATGGATGGCCCAGCCAAGAAGTCCATCAAATCCATGGACCTCCCGGTCTGCGTCGCCAACTTCACTCCCATCAACGACTTCCTGAAGAATCCAAAGGCGAGGTCACATGTGTGTCGTCCGATAAGGAAACTAAAAGAGTGAACGGGATTAAGACAGTCCACCAAAGATCACGAGACTCCAAACCCTATTGGCCCTAAGCCCTAAAGCCTAAGCCGTTTGTGTGTTGTGTCCTGGAGCTCTTACAATGCGCACGCAGACACATTCGTGTAGCCTTTTGCTTACCTAAATGGAAAGAGTGATAGACAGACACATAGACAGACACAATGATAGATGATGAGAGAAGCCCCCCACACTCCGGAGTTAAACCTGAGTTACATGGATTGTGGGCAGGTGCAGCTGCTTCTTGGTGGGTTTGGCGGCACGTACAAAAAGCAGTTGAAGCAAGTCTCGAAGGTCCAGGATCTCGTCTCGAAGAACCACGGCCTAGAAGAGGTTGACAAGCTCTGGAGCTCGATCGTCGAGTTGTTCGAGGCAAAGTTCACCTCCCCCAACGAGCAGATGGAGAATTACCTGCAAAAGATCATCCAGGCCAGCTGGATGGTTGGATTCGATACTGCTGCTCACTACTTCGGCTTCTTGCCGAATGGGCTAGCAAGCATGAGACTCCTTTGCTCAGGTGAGATGCTGTGGCTGCTTTTCGACATGAGGCAGCTTTCAGCTGCCATGAAGGTCATCCTGGAGAAGGATGACCATGGAGGAATCGAAGGTGTAACCGAGTTTGTGAAGAACTTGGACGAGAAGGGCGTCGCAATGTTGGCAAAGCACGGTTGCACAGTTCACATGATCCAGCAAGGGCCAGGGCAAGTTCTTTTCATCCCCACAGGTTGGTTTGCCGTGGAACGATGTGTCAAGGGCTTGCTAGTGTATGGGATTCGAAAGACTTTCATTTATCCTAGCCAAAAAGCTTCCAGCAACTACGAGATCCTCCAGGGCGTGCACGTGGAGTCGAAGAAGCCAGTGGACAAAATGAGGGCGACGGCTGCTTTCATCGCCCCTCCGGATGATGATTGATTGCACGCGTTGTAGGGCTCTTGAACACATGAGCGGATCTCCGAAACTCTCGCGAAGCACAGAAGTCGCAAAAGATCAGCGAGCCTCGAGCGTGTTGGCGTGTTGTAGAAACCCCTACAAAGCCACAAAGCCTTTGACAAGCCTTAAGCTTACAGACCACGCAAAGACCCAAGACCACTAACATCCTAAGAGTGTAGAATTCCTCGCCTATGCCCCGAAATGTATTGTGCATGAAACCTGGCGTTAGGGGTTTAGGACTTTAGGGTTTAGGGTTTAGGGTTTAGGGTTTAGGGTTTAGGGTTTAGGGTCAGTGACCGGTGATGTCAGAGCGGAGAACACTGCGCGAACGGTTTTGTTTTTTCCTTTGTTTCGTGTTGGAAGCTGCTCATTGCTTTTGGCACAAGGGATCTGGCAAATAAAGCTTATAATGGCAGCAACTTCGCATGTTCAGAACTCAATACACGAACTGTTATTTTTCTGTTGCAGGCGTGTCTGAGAAAGCCTGAGCCCTCGAGGCATACAGGTTTTGGACAGACGAAGTTTGTAGGTGTGGTCGTATTGTAAAAGTTCAGCTCTGTGCCAAAGCTCCCTCTGAGTTGAACTGAGTTGAACGGAGTGGGGGTCTCGAAGCGAATTTGCGCAAATAGCCACCTTGAACGAAGGATCTTATTGTTCTTGCAAGGTGTTGACGAAATTTGCTGCAGTGAAAGCTGCTTCTGTCACCCTGTGAGTTTTCATGGATGCTGCCTGGGCCCAGGAGCAAAGATAGACCATTGTTTTCAGTTGTCTCCCACTCATAGTGCGGCCATGCTCAAAAATCATCTACGACATGCACCGGGTGGGAACTTGGGAACCCGCCGATTGTCTGACTGCAGTGTCGACCCTCCGGTTGTGTCAGGGCCTAGGGCTTAGGGACTGTAGAGCTTGCGAGCTTAGGGTAGGATGTGCTCACGACTAGTGCGATCGAAAGCCGGAGCCTGCTCAGGTTCTTGGACCGTGCTGCGTGTCGACATCGGCAGGGGCCCCGCACTAGACGAGCCAAATTTGGAAGCAACGACCCTTTCTCATGTGGCCTCAGGCCCTGATGGCCTGACAATGCAGCTTCGATTCGGCACGTGACAAGCACCGGTAGATGGAATGCACGCCCCCATTCTTGAAGTCATCACTTCTCGCCGTACCACCGCATTGAGCCTGCAGCTGCACCGACCAAGATACTGCTGAGCAACGAGTACTGAGTACTACAACATGTGTGTATGTACTTTCTATGTAGCTATCTAACTATTTCTTAGTCTACCTATCTCTTTCTGTACTTAGTTACAAGGTTTGTCGTTACAGGGTCCCTTAAGCCTGAACCTTCCAAACCGCAAGCCGTAGCACACAAAACATTGAAATCCTGAACAAACCTGAAACAGTCTGACTCTGAATAACTCCGACCCCTGAATGAAACCCAGCCCCCGAGCTGAGGCGCGGGCCTGGAGCGCAGCTGGAGGGTCAGCCAGCTCTCGCCAGGGCCCAGTATCCGCCACCACTACCGACTACCTACTACGTACTGCCGCTACTGCCACCGCCACTGCTGCCATCACCGCTTCTGCTATTGTTACTGCCCCCGCTACGACGACGACTACTACACTACTACCACTACCACTGCTACTACTACTGCTACTACTATTTCTGCTGCTTTTAGCAACTACCTGTACTGCTAACTAAGACCAGCCCACTAACTACTAACGACTATGGACTCTCTGCTCACTAATCACTTTCCAAGCTACCGAGCTACTATCGACTACCTAGCTCTAACTATGACCTAATTAACTTGTCACACATTGATAATTTATACCAGAGGGGTTTTCCGAAGCCAGGACTATGTGGAAAGGGCTGGCTCTTGATTCGCGCCTGCCAGCAAAAGTCAAGACAGCGCAGATATGCCTGTGAAAATGACTTTCAGGAACCATGTAGCGTTGAAACTTAGGGCGTCTCCTGAATGTCATTCCCAGAGCCATACCTGCACTGTCTTGACTTTGCTGGCAGGCGTGCGTTCAGAGCCCTTTGTTCAGTGGGTTCAGACCATTTATCAGACAAAGTTGGCGCGGCACCAGAACTAGATCAGCCCTCCCCCCTTCCCAGTCTAAAGTCCTGTTCTTGAACCGCCTACAAGCCAATGCGAAAGCCTCGAAACCGGAAAACCTCCATTGAAGTTGTGATGGTGATGTTTCAGTTCCTTGCAACCTGCGAATGTGCCCAGGCTGCCGTGCACGAGGTCCTAAGCAAGGCTGCATCGATTGGAACCCTGCAGTATTGCAGCTTAGGAATGAGGGTTCAGGATTTCAGGTGGCCTCGATTATTGTTTGGCTCATGCGCTCTATGCCGCCTGCTGCTTTCGGCGGCTTTTTACTTTTGCCAGCAGGGAAATCGTGACAGTTGACTTCAGCTGTTCGAGGCTGTTATGGCATTCAGGGTTTAGGGTTGGTAGTGGTGAGAGTTGTACTCGTTCGTGGTACTTGCTCTTACAGCACCGCGTGACTAGTTTTATGTCGTGGGCGGGTATTCAATGTCTCTGATGCTTTAGCTACGGATGCGTAGCTATCCATCGTTGAAAGCCAGCCGTTTGAACTTGTTGCGCAAGCGTGGCTGCTTGCTGCTTGGCCACTTCCATTTAAGGCGTCAATGCCTCCGCCGAAGCAAACTATCCAACACCCAACCCCACCCGAGAACCCTTGACACCCCTAGAGCCTTGACTTTACCACAAACATTCATCTGCCCTGCTTCGCCAGATCTCCGTGCCGGGTAGCGGGCGCTCAGGGCTGCCAGAGCTCTGAGCTCAATCACAGCACGTTGCCAAGCCTTTGTCCCAAAAGCCCCATCAATGGAACCCTGAAGCCTCTAGCCTCTCCAAGAGTAGCCTGCATGCAAATTGTCATCCGAAAAGTTTTGATGCCGGGGCATTCGACATGAACCCAGCGATATGGACCCAAGCACGCATCTACTTCCAAGGGCGGCCGTCCTGTGTTCCAGAGAGCGAGAGGCGGGATTTTTGTCTGAGTCCGTACTGATGGATTCTTGCTCTGGTTTCCGTAAGTTGACATACTAATCCGACTAATCGAATATTGTACTAGTGTTGCTGTTGTGGTAGGGGTAGCTGCAGCAGGAGCAGCAGTAGTAGTAGTAGTAGTAGTAGTAGTAGTAGAGGTAGTAGTAGTACTAGTACTCGTACTCGTACTAGTACTAATACTAGAAGAAGAGGATTTACTGGACTGGTAATACAACTTGTAGTGTTGGTAGTGGTAGTGGATGTTAAGATTGTCTATCTGCTCGAGATGTTCCTACGATTTGACAACAACAAGCAGAATGAGACACGAGGCAGATGCCGGGGTCTACTGAGTCCGAATGGCTGTACTTGGAGGGGAGCAGTCAACACAGGCAGCTTTTTCGGAAGCCTTATTTGTGCAGACGACGTCATTCTGTGGACTGCAAGCACCACTACAGTTTTGCAGTTTTGTGCTTGCGTCTTGCACGCAGGCTCTCAAACATCGTTTCTACCCATTTGCACCGGGCGTTGCTCCAGAAGAGCTGGAGCAGCTCCTCCTGATACATGCATTCGAGGACCCTGTGCAAGTGCTGGACACTCCCTTTTGCAAAGAAGGAGGCGCATCCCTCGCAGGATCTCCTGGCAAAGGCACAGCCGGAACGCAGTTGGCCGGGCCCTCAGTCACCTTGACTTTTGCCCGGCTTATAACCTCCACGGTTTCACCGGACCCCAAAGCCCCCGTTCCCTGAAGCGCTTGCGCCCAAAAATGCATCAACAGAACCCGAAAGGCATCCCGAAGACCTCAGATGTAGATGGTCTATATCCGTACCTATATAATGTGGCCGTGCATCTTCTTCAAGGTGCTGCTCCGACAGGATCTGGCGGGAGCAGATCCCTTCCAGCCTACTGGGTCAAACCCTGGAGGCTTGTCGAGATTTCCGGGGACGGATGCTTTGAAGTTAGAGGCTGTATAGTCTCAATGAAATCTCGTAGGGTTCTGAGATTTGTCGGCTTGCGTCCGCATCTTGAGCATCAACATATTCAGCCACTGGGTCAGCACCTCGTTCAGGCAGCGTCATGCATTCCAGTCTCTGGTAAGCCCGATGTTCTATCGTGATCCCGTTGTCCTCGGGGCATGCGATGCTGGTCATTGATTCATGGTTGCATGGTGGGTAGAAGCTGGAACAGTGGAGTTTCGCATTCCGAACGAAAGTTGGCAGTGTCGACCGATCAACAGTGCAGGATCTCGGAGGTTGAACTTGGCAGGTTTTCGATCGCGGTCATGCCTCATCAAACGGCCAGCTTTTCCAAAGACTGTGGTTAGAAGACAGGTGCAGGAATCAATGGACATGTACACTTTCGGGTTCACTCGCGACGATCTCCAGCGACCTCCAGCATGCATGACTGAGAACACATGCCGGCTCATGTAGCTTTTGTGTGTTGCAAGCCCTGATGCGAACGGTACCACATGGACTTGCGAAGTGTTGTTTGATGTTTAAATTCTGAATTCGCTCATTAAAACCGATAGTCGTGGTGTTGTGCATTGCCACGAGCATCGCAACAGTGTTTCTCCGCAGAGGGCACCTGGGGGAAGGATGGGTCAGGTGCCAATGAAGACACCCATCCCGACCTGTGACAGAAGAGTGGGACGCAACTCCTACGTACCTGCATGTGTTTATACCGTGAGCCATCGATTGAGATTGCAACGTCATGTTATTCCATGAACCATCGATTGAGAGTGCGACGTCATGTAATTCCATGATCATCGATTGAGAGTGCGACGTCATGTGATTCCATGAACCATTGATTGAGGTTGCGGCATCATGTTTAGTGATTTCCATGTCAGCTTGACTCCAACTCAAGTGTGTGTGTGTGTTTGTTTTTTTGGTTGTTTTCTACATGCGCACAAGTAAATCGAGGTAAACAGCCAGTGGTGGGTCACTTCGTTCAGGCCGCTCTGCGCTCCGAGCCCTTCGCGGATGCCGCATACCTACCGCGGCATGATGCACTGCTCCTGGCGCTGCACCATAGGCCGCAGGGATGTGGGAAGTCTCGCGAGCTCTCCACATGACTGTCTCTGGCTTAGGGGCCCAAGGTCTTAAAACGGCAGCCTCAACAGACTAGTACCGTGACTCCTTGAAACTGTCTGGGCCAGGGCGGCTCCTGGACGTGTTCTTTGGCATGCCTGGCAAGGGGATCTCCTTGCCGACCCACAGGACATCATTGGGGCAGCTTCCGATCTTGTATTGTGGTGTGGTAGTCGTCGGTCTTGTTCTTCGATTTTGCGTAGTAGTAGTAGTAGTAGTAGTAGTAGTAGTAGTGTTGGCCTTGAGTCGTAGAGGCGGATCCAAAAAGCGGCGGCTTGAAGCCGGTATCATATTCCGCGTGTTCGGAGAAGAAGTCGTAGAAACACCGGCGAGCATGTGCCACGATGAGCTGTGGTGCACAGGCTTGCAGCTTGGCCCCGGCAATCCCAGTGTGTGTTGCGGCGTGAATTTGTTAAGGGCGTGAGTCGTGATTTCAACCTATAGCACAGGATCCGTCGCTCCACAAGGCATCGAAGGTGCAACAACTTGCTCACACAATCGGTTTCTCTTCTACGAGGAGTCCTATACCCTAGATCTCATTCGTCCTTATGCCCGTGACTTCTTAAAATCTGCACTGCAGGACGCCAAATGGCAGTGTGAGCCTCAGTGAAAACATGACGGACGCAGACGTTGGGATGTTGAGGACATACAATGGAGGTGCAACCTACAGTTCAAGCATCAATAACACAACCTGATCTTCGTGGCCGTGCACTAACAGTCGACCGCACAACGCTTCAGTTTTTCGATGGAGCTTGAAATTTGTGCAATGCCCAGTCGCCTCAGACCTATCAAAGGGTCTCAATGCAGTTCAATGAGCAGTCTGGGTCACTTTCGGAGCTTGCACTGTTAGTGAAGCCATCAGTTCACCTGATATCAAGACGACGACCCCGCTGCACCATGCTCGTCAGGACATGTCTTCCGCTGCCAAGAAGCATTCTCCAGTTGAGGTCTTCTGTGCTGGTAACGCATCCGACCTACAACGACTGGTCGCAGGCTCGTGCGTTTGCATCCGCTTTTTTGCCTTGAACAACGTGTTGGTTGACATAGAGCTATCTTATAAGAGAATATCATAAGGACGTACATGAGCACAAAGCTACATAAACATTTGAAGGTGAATGCATTCGACAAAGCACCTAGTCCATTATGTGCAACAAGAGTCTTCGACATTACTCACAGCTCCTCTGTTGCCACCATTAACTATAATTATACATTCTGCCGCAGTGAAGGTCCTGTTGCAGGCCAGCTCCGCCTCGCCATAGACTTGTTGGGCCAAGAACATCCTATAGCCCGACCTTAGAAACAGAACTGCACGAACCAGAAGCGTCTCCATCCTGCAAGCAGCTCATGGGGCTTAATCTTGATCTCCCACTACAGAAGTCGTACCTTCAGCGCCCTGAGTCTTCTTCGAGGTCACCAGATCTATCCATCCATCTATCTAGCTATCTATCTATATCTCTATCTGTCTATCTATCTACCTACCTATCTATCTATCTATTTCTCTCTCTCTCTCTCTCTTTCTCTCTCTCTCCCTCTTTGTCTCTGTCTCGCTCAATCTCTCTCACAGACACAGACACAATCACACACGCACACGCACACACATATAGTGTGCTGTAATTTGCAAAATACTTATTTTGCATTACATTTCATCATCTGTTATTGTATTGTAGTGTAATTTTTATATGTTGTGAAACATATGGTCGCACATCATACTAACTATGTTATACTGGTTGATATCCATGTTATCATATTCCTTTTCTGTATAACATTATGTTGTATTTCACAATATGTTTATATTACCTGTACTTGTATCAATATTTTGCTGCACTTTGCAATCATATTACTTGGTAGTATATTATCGTTGCCATCTGTTATTCTATCAAAGTTTATACCGAGTTGATTTCTGGTTAAATAAAATTATATTGTTTTCTTGTGTGTTATGTTTTCTGTTTTATACAGCGACGTGATTTATTATGTTATGCTGCATTCTTCTATTCTAGTTTATGGGTCCATCGCCCTCGTTTGCCCCAGTTTGCTTGCTAACAATGTGCGAAAAGCACGGCAGGATCGGCACTTTCGGCTCTTAGCATGGCTTAACATGGCGTCCAAATTATGATGATATGCGGAACCAAAAACGCCAAAAACCCGATGTTTCTGCGCGGCCGGGTTTGTGATTTTGAGGACTGAACTGTATCGGCTTGACT